AGATTGATAAAGCTCTGCATCCAGATCAGGAAGGGAAACGTAAATTGTCTCTGTTTGCAGATAACGCGGTCTTATATATAGGAAACTCTAAAGACAAAAAAAAACTGTAAAAAAAAAAAAAAAAAGAATTCAGTAAAGTTGCAAGATACAAAATCAGCATACAAAAATCAGTTGTGTTTCTAATCACTAACAACAAACTATCTGAAAAAAATTAAGAAAACATTTCCATTTAGAATAGCATCAAAAAGAATAAAATACTTAGGAATAAATTTAACCAAGGAGGTGAAAGATCTGTATACTAACAACTATAAAACACTGATGAAAGAAATTGAAGAAGATACAAATAAATGGAAAGATGTGTTCATGGGTTAAAATAATTAATAGTCTTAAAACATTCATTTTAACCAAAGCAATCTATAGATTTAATGCAATCCTTACCAAAATTCCAACGGTATTTTTCACAGAAATAGAAAAAAAAATCAACAACTAAAATGTGTATGAAACCACAAAAGACCCTGAATAGCTAAAGCAATTTTGAGTAAAAACAAAACTGAATGCATTACACTTCCTGATTTCAAATTATATTACAAAGCTATAGTAACCCAAATAGTATGTTACTGGCATAAAAGCAGACCTATAGACTAATGGAACAGAATAAAGAGCCCAGAAATAAGCCCATGCATATATATGGTCAGCTAATTTTCAACAAGGCCCCAAGAACACACAGTGGAGAAATGACAGTCTCTTCAATAAATAGCATTGGGAAAACTGGATATCCACCTGCAAAAGAATAAAATTGAACCCTTATCTTGCACCACACACAAAAATCAACTCAAAAATAAATCAAAGACTTAAACATAAGTCCTGGAACGGTAAAATTCCTAGAAGACACAGAGGAAAAATCCCCTTCACATTGGTCTTGGCAATGATTTTTTGGATTGGACACCAAAAACATGAGCAACAAAAGCAAAAATAAACAAGTGGACTACATCAAACTAAGAAGTTTCTGCACAGCAAAGGGGGAAAAAATCAACAAAATGGAAAGGCACCCTATAGAATGGAAGAAAATATTTGCAAAGCATACATCTAATAAGGGGTTAATATCCAAAACATATAAAGAACATACACAACTCAATAGCAAAATAAAATAACCTGACTTTAAAATGGGCAAAGAACCTGAATAGACATTTTTCTAAAGAAGACATACAAATAGCCAACAGGTATATGAAAATGTACTCAACATCATTAATCATCCTGAAAATACAAATCAAAACCACAATGAGGCATCACCTCACACCTATTAATATGGCTATTATCTAAATGTCAAACGATAACAAGTGTTGGCGAGATATGAATAAAAAGAAACCCTGTATGCCGTTGGTGGGAATGCAAACTGATACAGCCACTATGGAAAATAGTATGGAAGGTTCTCATAAAATTAAAATAGAACTACCATATGATCCAGCAATCCCACTTCTGGGTATATATCTGAAAGAAATAAAATCACTATCTCAAAAAGATATCTGTACTCCCATGTTCATTACAGCATTATTCACAATAGCCAACATATGGAAATAACCTAAGTGTCCGCTGACAGATGAATGGATAAAGAAAATGTTAGCTATATATATTTTTTCAAATATTATTTAGCCTTTAAAAAGAAGGAAATCCTGCCATTTGTGACAACATGGATGGACCTGAAGGACATTATGCTAAGTGAAATAGCCAGATACGGAAAGAAAAACATTGCAGCATGATTCCACTTACAAGTGGAATCTTAAAAAAAAAAAAAATTAAACTTGTTGTAACAGAGAATAGAAGTGGGAGGGAGTAAGGGAAAAGAGGAGATGTTGATCAAAGAGTACAAACGTCTAGTTATAAGATGAATAAGTTCTGGAGACCTCATGTACAGTATGGTATCTATAGTTAATAATAATGTGCAGTGTATGCTTAAAATTTGCTAAAAGAGTAGACCACAATTATTCTCACCACCACACACACACAAAAATGGTAACTATGTAAGGTGATGGCTATGTTAATTAGCTTGAATGTGGTAATCATTTCATAATATATACATATATCAAAACATAGCATTGTACATCTTAAATACATACAATTTTTATTTGTCAATCATACCTCAGTAAAGCTAGAGAAAATTTTTCAAAAACAGTGTTTTCAGAAAAATCGAAATATAAATGGCTTGTAAATATATTAATGTATGCTCATTTATGACTAAGAAATACAAGCTAAAATAATGAGAACAAAGAAAAACAATGGTAAAGCTCTAGACAGGCTAACCAAGAAAATAAGAGAGAGGACACAAATTACCAACATTAGAAATGAAAGAAAAGTCATCACTACTCATCTCATGGACATCAAAAGAATAATTAAAAAAATATTATGAGCAACTCTACACCCACACACTTGATAACTTAGATGAAATGAACATAATCTTTGAAAAGCACAAACTGCCAAAGCTCACAAAAGATCATCTGAATAGGCTTATATCTATTGAAGAAATTAAATCAATACTTAATATCTTCCCCAAAAAGACAACACCAGGCTCAGATGGTTTCATTGCTAAATTCTACCAAACAGTAATGAAAGAAACAATATCAATTCTCTACAGTTTCCTCCAAAAATTGAAAGCTGAAGGAACACTTTCCAACTCATTCTATGAAGCTAGCATTACCCTAAAACCAAAAATGAATAAAAACATTACAATTTTTTCTTGTGACAAAAAAGCTAAATTAGAAAGCAACCATAAAAGTTAATGCAAAACAAAATAAACAGGTTGAAAACTTTTAAATGCATTCTTAAATAACTCATTGTGAAAGAGGACAAAACAATAAAAATTACAAAATATTTAGCATGGACTGACATTAAAGGTTGCATATTAAAACCATGTAGCTAGAAGAGAACTAAGAAGAGAATTTGTAACTGCAAATGCACTGATTAACATTTTTAAAAAGATAGAAAATAAATTACCGTTGTTCAACTCAAGAACCAATAAAATAATCATAAACAGAAATGAGATACAAGAAAGGAAACATTAAAATTAAGAGTAGAAATTAATGAAATAAAAAGAAAACAATAGAAAGGGTCCACAAAGACAAAAGCTATTTCTCTTTTTGGGAAAACTAATAAAATAGGCTGTCAACAGACTGAACAAGGGAACAAAGAGAAAAGGCGTAAATATCCAAACTTAGGACTAAAAAGGGATATAACTAAAAGAGACTTTAAAAATCACAATAGACTACGTTCAGCTTTATGGTTTTCAATTTGAAAAATAAAGAAATTTTACATTTCTAGGAAATACGAATTACCAAAATCAGCTATGGTAATTAGGCTAAATGGCCTGAATAAACCAAGCCATTAAATAAATAATAAAGTAGGGCTGGCTGAGTGGTTTATTGGTTAAGAGCTGGCTTGGGACGCCAGCTCTGAGCAGCAGGGCCCCAGTTCGGATCCCACGTTAGGGCCAGTGACGCTGTGCCCTCTACAGCTAAGATGGTGAACAACAGCTCGACCTGGAGCTGGGCTGCCGTGAGCCGCCGGTAATGGCGTAGGCTGAAGTGAAGCTGCAGTGGGCTGCCATAAGCTACCGTGAATGGCTGGCAGCTGGTGTGAGCTGCCAAGAGCCACCATGAGCGGCTATCCAGTGGCCAGTGACCGATCTATCTCACTCGGGAAGAGCACAATGATAATACCAACACCGGCCAGCGAAGCAACGTCCTCCACAACTAGACTGAAGAACAAAAGGACAGCAACTTGTCTGTTCCCCTTCCCCGATTCCCCAATGCTCCTCCCCCAATTCCCCAATAAAGTATTTAAAAATAAATAAAGTAGTAAACAAAAGTAAACTCTTCTCAATAAAAAAGATCTACCCTTAAATGGACATTTGATATGTAACAGAGATGATGACACAAATCAGAAGGGAAAGAATGAACTCTTCAATAAGTGGCACTGAGACTATTGGACATTTTATTGAAAAAAGTAAAACTATTGAGTTGTCGGAAAAGTCATGACGCATTTTTTTCTGTTTCTCGTTGTAAAAATGCGTCATGACTTTTCTGACAACCCAATAGATGCCTACAATTTCATCATATGTAAAAATTATTTCTGGAGAGATTAAAAACTCAAATAGAAAAGGCAAGACTTTAAAATATCTAGGGAAAAATAGGAAAATGTCTTCAAGGTACAGAATGATTTCTTAAACATTATAAGAGAAGATACATATTGATGAATTTGACTGCTTTTTAATTAAAAACTTGGTTCAACAATAGCTACCCTAAGCAAAGTGAAAGACAAGCTACAACTTTGGAAAATAGTTTAGCACTCTATAACAAAGCTGGAGATATGCATACCTGATAATTGAGAAATTCTCTCATTGGTATGGTCCCTGGAGAAACTCAAGCACAGGTGCATCAGGAGATTGGTATAAGAATGTTCGTGACGATATTGTTTGAAGTGTTCAAAAACTGGAGGGGAAGAAAAATCAACAGTAGGATGGATAAATAAATTGTGGACTGTTTATTTGATAAAATATCATCAGCAGTGAAAATGAGGAACGATAGCTACACATCACAAAAGTTAATTTTCCAAACATATGTTGAGTCAAAGAAACAAGACAAAAGAAAAACTACAAAATGATTTCACTTATATAAAACTCAAAAGCAGGAAAAAGCTAACCTATAGTGTTTAGGGACGCCTACAGAAGTGGCTAAACTACATTAAAAAAGCAAGAATCTGATAAATAAAAATCAAGACAGTGGTTACATCCAGGAGAGAAGTAAATAACATTGAGAAGGGACGCATGAGGGATTTCTGGAGCTGGCAACTTTCTACTTAAGTCTCACATATATACACATATCAAATTCTTCAAATCAGTAAGAAAAGTGGGGCAAAAGATATGAACAGCTATATAATAAGAAATATATATATATATTGTATAAGATTCTCAGTCTCATTAGTAAATTGGGGAAATTCAAATTAAAACAATGATGAAATACCATTTTATAGCCATCAGAGCAGCTAACATTTACATGCCTAAGGGCCGGCCGAGTGGCTCAGTTGGTTAAGAGCTCGCTCAAGAGTTTGAGCTCTGAGCAACAGCGGTTTGAGTCCAGGCTGAGCTGAGCAGCCGCTGAGCTGCCAACAGGTAGCAGGATGGCTCAGCTAAAAAAAAAAAAAAAAAAGTTCACATTTACATACCTGACAAATGTGAAGTGTCAGTGAGGATATGAAAAACAGATCTCTTCTTATACTTCTGGGAGCATACTTTGGGGAGCAATTTGGCCATATTTAACAACTTTGAAAAAGAGCATATCCTATAGCCCAACAAGACAGCTGTGCACTGCAGAAGGAGTCTTTATAACAATATTTATCTGTGCCATTGTTTTCATAGCTAAAAATTAGAAACAACTTTAGTGTTCTCAAGCAAAATCAGGAATAAATAAATTGTAATAACACAATTATGTTGCATTGTAACACAATGCAATGTCATATAGCAACTCTAACGAACTAGAGCTTCAAGTATCAAAATAGAAAAGCAAATTGTAGACTATGCATAGTAAGACACCATTTATATAAACTTTGAAAACGTGCAAAACAACATCACATATTGTTTATGATACATACATATGTAGCAATATTATGAAAATACGCATGAGAATGATAAACACCGAATTTGGGGTGGTATTTGCCTTGAGGGAGGGAAGGGAAGCATATAGTGCTTCAATTATATCTGAAATGTTTATTTAAAAGGAACCAAAGCAAAAAGAAAAGAAAAATCTATCCTTTTAATTCACCAGATTAATAAATTAAAGTAGAAAAACCATGTGATCATCTCAATAGATTTAGAAAAAGCATTTGATAAAATTCAGCAACACTAATTCAGGACTTTAAAAAAACCTCTGAACAAGCTAGGAAGAAACTTTAACCCAATAAGAGTTATCTCCCAAAACCAGTAGCAAATATTATACATAATGGTGAAATGTTGGATGTATTTCTTTTAAAGTCAAGAGCCGACAAAGATGTCTGGAGGTCTGAGTAAGTGTAATGTGGTGGCGGAGGAAGAGGCATGGAAGAGGGAAAGAAAATTAAATGTAAGGCACACAAGGATAACTGTTCATGCTTATCAGGTTGTCAAAAGTTAAAATGGCTGATAACACCACACGTTTTGGAGGATAAGGAACTCTTTCACTATTGGTGAGGCTATAAATGGGCACACCACTTGAAAGAGTTGGGGTGACTGGTTGGTTAGAGCGTGGTGCTGGTAACCCCAAGGTTGCCAGTTCGATCCCTATATGAGCCACTGTGAGCTGTGCCCTCCCTAAAAGAGTCAACTATGCCATTGTAGCATGAAAGCAATGTGTAACCATGACCACAATAAAACAGTTAAAAAAAAAAGAGTAAACTGTTCACATCCAGTAAAGTTGAAGATGTGCACATACTATGACCCAGCAATTCCACCTTTATACATGTTGACAGAAAAAAAAATAGTAAGCTATCTAAATGTCCATGAATGGAGAATAAATAAATCAGATGCATTTTATTCATATAATGGACTACTATACAGCTGTTGAAATAAATGAACTAAAATTTCATGCATCAACATGGTTAAGTCTCAAAAACATAACATTAAATGAAAAACATCAGGTGCAAAAGGACACAGTCAGTATCATGTAATTGATGTTAATTTTCAGAACACAGAAAGCAATACTACACATTGCTTACATTTACATACATATGCATTAAATCTGTAATATCTGGTATGGGGTGATTTTAGAAAACTTTAAGCTAATTGTTACCTCTGGGAAGGACAGAAAAGGTGGGGACTTTAGTTATATCTGTAATTTGTCTTCCTTAGAAAAAGAAAAGTCGGCTACAATAAAATGTTCATCTCTTAAATCTAGGTGTTGAGATATGAGTATCTTCTACATTGTTTTTGCCTTCATTTGTGCATATTTGAAATATTTTGTTAAAATGATTAGTTTAAAATTAAAGAAGTCGAAAGATCATAGCACAGTGGAATCTCAGAATTGAAAGAAAACTCAGAAGTCAATTAATCTAGCTGCACCATTTCCCAAGAGTCCTCCAGTCTTGGCTTACATACTCCTGGTGATGGGGAGCTCATTACCTTAAGGAAGCCACTTTTGATCTGAACAGGTTTGCCTGTTAAAAGTCAGACACATATTGAGCCAAAAATCTGCCTCCTTTCAGTGCCCATGATTCCAGCATCAGAGTTGTATCTTTGTCCTCATTTACTCGACTGCAAGTCCAGACTTTGGACCCTGGCCCTCATTCTATCATGACCACTTGGGTAGAAATTTCCAGCCTCTTGCTATCATCTCTCTATCTATCAACTGCATGGTTTAAATGGTTACTTCAGGCTCTGAAATCCAAGAATTCCATAAGATAAATTTATTTCCAAAACGTTGGCTCAGCAGAACCTTTTGTAAAAACATAACTATTTTATTTAATAAAATTCACCTCTTTAAAAAGCTTTGTGTATTTCTTTTAAAAAGCCTTAACCTTCTGTCCTAAACTTGCCTGGCAAGCCTGCTCCATTCAGCAACACTGGAAATGCCATACACAGCCAAAGAGAGGGCCTGGCCAGGGCCACAGAGTGGAGCAACTCAAGACAATAGCTCCCCATGGTAAATCATGTGCTTCCCGGGGCCCAGGGTGGCTTGGTGGAGAGCACCCTCCAATCCTCTCTTCCAGGGAAGCTGCATAGCTGGCCTCTTAGGTACTGGGGAAGGAAGGCCTTCGACATGCTCCTTCACCTGTAGAAGCCCTTCACGTCATTCAAGACCCAAATAAGTGTCGCTGCCTCTCCGAGGCTGGTCCCATCCCCTGCAAGAGAATAAACTTCTCTCTCCACAGTTCTCTTCTACTCTGATACAGCACTGAAATTTTTTGTTTTAACAAGCTCTCACATCTTGCTTACTAGGTCCCAGACGCACTCCTAAGCACTTTATATATGCTGACTTATTTAGGTAGGTGCTGTGAATCTCCATTTCACAGATGAGGAAACAGAGAGGCACAGAGAGGTTGAGGCACTTATCTGAACTCACACAGATAGTTTTTGGCAAAGCTGGGGTTTTAATCCAGGCGATCTAGTTCCGGAGTCTGTGCTTTTTTTCTCCTTCAGTGCTAAGCTGATTGAAGTCCTTCTGATCACTCATGTTTGAGTTGTTTATATACATGCCTTATCACCTCCGCTAGTTCGTTTTGTAACCTGCTTTTTCTCGCTTAACACTTTATCATGTACATCTTTCCATGCCATTAAATATTATTTCACAATACCATTTTTAATGATTGCTTACTAATCCACTGTGATATGTAACCAGCCTGATTGTCAGACATTTAAGTTCCTTTCCCTTTTTCGCTACCGTCAACAATGTTTTGGTAAATGCATTTATAATTAAACATCTGTGTACATCCTTGACTGTTTCTTTAGGATCCATTCCAAAAGGAGTTGCTGGATCAAAGCATGTGCACATTTTTAAGGCTTCTGATACACGTTGCCAAATTACCCCTGGAGAGAGTCACCAGCAGTGAATAGGAGAACTGTTTCCCGCGTCTTGGCCAACCCAGGCTACAATCATTCAATAAGAAAATAAGAAGTCTGCTTTTGTTGGGGGTGGGTGGAGGGGGGTGGGGCATATTAACGTTTTAAGTTGTTTCTTTGTTCATAAGTAAAATATTTTATTTCCTAATTGATTATTTGTATTTCTTCTTCTGTGAAAATCCTTTGCCTCTTATTCAAATCAGCACGCACTTTTCCTTGTTGGTTTGCAAGGAAAGAAGGAGAGAGTGAGAAAAAACGCTTAGAAGATAAAATCCCACATTTTATCCCTTCCCTATGGGCAGACACAGAAGCTAATAAGGATGTAACCTATCTTTGCAGACTTTTAGCAAAAGCTTTAGCAAAAAGAAACTCTAACAAATCCCTTGCCATGCCAGCGTCCAGGGTCTGAGTGGTAAAGACGTCCCAGGCAGCCCCCTGACCCTATCTTGCGTATTTCCTGCCACTCTATTTTGGAGATGTGCACCCAGATGTGGGCATCAGTCCAATACCTAGGCCCAAATCCCAACCCTACTGCATGATCACAGGATTTTGAGCAAGTTGTATGACCTCTCTCTCTGCCTCCATTTCTCCATCTATAAAATGGGAATAATAATGATAATACTTTTTTGGGCTGTTGTAAGGATCAAATAAACTCATATACAGAGCACTTAAACCACATGCCATGCATTATAGTAAGCACCAAGTAAATATTAGCTGTTATTATTATTATTATTCTATTTTTTATCATTTTATTATTTTATCATCTTATTATTATCATTCAGGGTTTTCACTAGATATAGCTATCCCGCTCCCACTCTTTTGTAATTCACACTGAAGGAGAATTTCCTTTGGCTATGTTATATATTTTTCCTATGCAGTGAAAATCAATCATTTGAACCCTTT